GAGGGGCACCGAGGGTGATAGAGGGCAGAGGGTGGGCTTGGGGACATCAGCTCTGTGTCACTCTGTCCTGTCTGTGTGTCCTCCCCCTTGGAGTCACTGTGTCCTGTCCTTGTCCCAGTCCCAGTGCCCCCCCACTGTCTCTGCTTGTTGTCACCACATTCCCTCATCTGTGGCATAACTTGTGTTCCCCCAGCTCTGTCACCATGTCCTGTCCATGAAACACTCCCTGTCTCCTCGCATGGTGTCACAGTCTCTGTGTCCCCCACCTGGATGGCCCATTGTCTCTGTGTCCCTGCAGGTCACCAACAGCGGACACTGCCAGAGCATTGTCCAACTGTCCTTGCATCCCCACCACGGTGTCCCCCCGGGGCATGAAGAGCAGGCAGTGCCCCAACTATCCATGTGTCCCCATGTCCCGGTGCCACTGTTCCCCTGTCCCTCAGGACACAAAGAGTGGGTGGTGCCCCCAGTGGTGCAAGGACAGCGCCCCACTGTCCCTGTGCCCTCTCCACAGTGTCCCCACGTTCCCTCAGGGCATCAAGAGTGGGCACTGTCCCCACATTGTCCCCTCAGGGCACGAAGAGCGGGCGGTGCCCCCGGCGGTGCCTCCTGAGCGCGGCGCTCCGGGCAAAGCTCTCCCCGCACTCTATGCAGATCAGCGGCTCCTGCCCGCAGCCGCCCTCGGCCCCCGCGGGCCCCTCGCCCTCACCCCCTGCCCGAGACCCCTTCATGGCCCTCGGGGCGCCTGCAGGGTGGGCGCAGCGCCGCGGCCGCGCTGTCCCCGGCCCGGCGTGGGTGCGCTGGTGCTTGATGAGGTTCTTGCTCTGCGTGAAGCTCTTGCCGCACTCGGCGCAGCCGTACGGGCGCTCCCCGGTGTGAATGCGCTGGTGCTGGATGAGGTTGGAGCTCCAGGAGAAGCTCTTGCCGCAGTGGCTGCACCTGTACGGCTTCTCCCCGGTGTGGGTGCGGCGGTGCTGCACCAGGTGCGAGTTCTGCGAGAAGCTCTTGCCGCACTCGCCGCAGGTGCTGGGCCGCTCGCCCGTGTGCGTGCGCTGGTGCCGCAGCAGCTTGGACCAGTGGCTGAAGCTCTTGCCGCACTCGTTGCAGATGAAGGGGCGCTGGCGGCCTCCGCCCCGCCGCCCCCCGCCCTCCTCAGAGCCCCCCGGGGCCGGGCCGGGGGTCCCGCGGGGAAGCGGGGGGCGCAGGGGGCTGTGCGGGATCACCGTGCGGATGATCTCGTGAGGCAGCACCTCGGCCTCGCCGTCGCTCACGATGCCATCATCGGCTGGGGGGACACGGGGAGGGGATGAGAGCACAGAACGGGCTGGACCTCCCAACCAATGTTTGCTGTGACTCTAAGAGGGGCTGGGACCCTGACACAAATGTTTATTGTATTCCTAAAATGGGCTGGGCCCCCTCCCCGAATGCTCATTGCACCCTAAAAGGGTGCCTGGAGCCTCCCTAATTTGCCTGGAGCTTCCTCAAAATGTTTGTTGTGACCCAAAAGGGGCTGGGACCCTTCCCCATATGTTTGTTTGACCCAAAAGGGGCTGGGACCCTTCCCCAAATGTTCGTTGACCCAAAAAGGGGCTGGGCCTTCTCCTCAAATATTTATTAAGCCCCAGAAAGGGGTTGGACCCCTGACCCAAATGTTCATTGTGACCCAAAAAGGGCTGCACCCCTGACCAAATATTTGTGCTCCAAAAAGGGGCCAGACACCCATCCCAAATGTTCACTGGATCCCAAAAATCGGCTAGACCCCCGACCCAAGTATTTGTTGTGTCCCAAGAGGGGGCACAAAAAGGGGCTGTGGCCCCCTCCTCGTGTCCAGTGCACCAAAAAGGGTCTGGATCCCCTCCCCAAATGCTCACTGTGCCCCATAAAAGGGGCTGTGCCCAATCCTGGAGTGTCTGGAGCCCCCCAAAAGTACCTGAAGGCCCCTAAAATTCTCCATACCCCCTTCTTGTGGGGTCTGGAACCCCCTCAAGAGTGTTTTAAGCCCCTCTCAAATGCCTCTACCCCCCTACAGTGGTGTCTGGAGACCCCCAGAAGTGCCTTGGACCATGTCCCAAATTCCTCCACCCCCTTCTAGGTGCATCTGTATCCCCCGCAAATTGCCTGCACCCCCTTCTTGGGGTGCCTGGAGCCCCCCCAAATTTGCCTACAGCCCCCCCAAAAGTGCCTGGATCCCTCCAAAATTTCCTGTACCGCCTTTCAGGGTTATCTGGAGCCCCCCAACCCCCCCATCCACTTTTGGGGTCCCCCTCTCACCAATGAAGACCCTCCGGACCACGTCCCCCTCGTCCGAGTCCTGCAGCTCCACCACGTCTGGCTCATCCTGCTCCATGGGGGCTCCCGCAGGGACTGCGATGTCAAGGAGGGCCCTGAGCACCCCAAAATGCCCCAGGACCCCCCTGAGCAGCAGAAACCCACAACTGCCCCCCTCCAGTTCCAAAGGATTTTGTTTGCATCTTGGTTCCTGCTGTGCCCCCAAATTTCTCAGTGTGACCCCAAATCCTTTTTTGCCCCCCTCAATTTCCATGTATCCCACCCAAATCCTTCTGTGTTACCCCACTAAATCCCCTCGTGCCCCCCAAGCCTCATCCCCCCTAAAACCCCTCTGCCCCCAACCCATCTGTTCCCCCCAAAATCTCTGTGTCCCCCCAAATCTCTTCATGTCCCCCCAAATCCCTCAGTGTAATCTCAAACTCCTCCATGTGATCCCAAATCCCTCTGTGCCTCCTCAAATATCCCTGTTCCGCCCAAAAATCCTTCTGTGTCCCTCCAAATCCTTCTGTGTGACCCCCAAATCCCTCCTTGTCTCCCCAAATCACCCTGTATTCCCCAATTCCCCCCCCCCCCCCCC